CCTGGATCCTTCCCTTCTCCAGGGGAACATTCCCGGGGCTCTGAGCTCTGCCTGGATCCTTCCCTTCTCCAGGGGAACATTCCCAGCTCTCCCAGCCCAGCTCCAGAGCAGAATTCCAGCCCTGCTGGATGGCACAGAATCCAGATATGGAAAAGGAGAATCCAGATCTTGAGAAATGAGAGTGATCCATGAGAATCCAGGTCTTGGAAAACCTTGATTCAGACATCAAGAACCATTTTCCTTTGGCAAGGAAAAACCTTTTCCATCCAAATTTTGTAGCTGCACAATCGCCCGTCCAGAAGCCACAGACTGAATTCAGACACTTTTCTGCATCCTAAGAATATTGTGGAGGAAATTTTGCAATGTCAACAAGCCTAGAAATATTTGAGAATCTTTTTAACAACTGAATATAATTAATGACACAAACCAGCAAATAATTAAGACAATATTGATGTAAAAGAAGCCAAATTTGTAGCTACTTGAATTTTTCAGGGAACAGCTCAAATCTCTTTTTTGAGTCAGTTTAAGTGATCCATCCTTCCCGAAATCATCCATCAGGACAGTAATATTCCTGGGAAAAACCTGTGCAAATCAAGAGAGAACCCAGCAGAGCTCCCTCTTTATTCATTCCAAGTGTCCACTTGGAATTTTTAGGATAATGAAGCTGCTTGACCGTCGCTGCAATTTCGAAGTCATGATATCCCAATATCTATAAAATAATATTTTTGTGATATTCTGAGGGGACACTCAATTGCAAGGAAATAATCCCTTTGCTTTGCAAGATCAGGAATTCTAGTGTGGGTGCTCCAACAGGATTTTTTAGGAATTCTACATTTCCCACAGCTTTAAACGGGAGGAGGAGGCATTTTACAGAAAGAAAATAATTACTTTTGTATTATTGCCAGGAGAAATGAGAGCTCCGATCAAGCAGAACAAAAATCCAACCTCATATTTGTTCTCTATGAAAACCAGAGGTGTTCTCTGAAATCAAGATAAGCTTAAACACAGCTTGATAAGAAACTCCGAGTTGTTTGTGCACATCAAAGATTTAAATCCAGTTCCCCCCTTTCCACATCATCCACCCAAAGCTCCTTTTGACTGCGATTGTCACGGTTTCGTCCCAGAACCCAAAAAAAATGTGTTTTCCTCAGGAAACAGGGAACCAAACCTCGAGTCCACCGCACTGCCCCACCCAGCGGGGAGGTTTTTTTGTGGGGTTTATTCTCAACACTGACAGG